CCACCCTGAGTAATGCTTGCTCTTCCAGATCTTCTCTGTTCCTGCTTGGCAACTCAGAGTTGGTGAATGCATTAGGATCTTGCTTTAAAATTTTAATTTTTGGACTATCTAGTCAAAGGACTGGGAGTTAGAAACCCCAGCAGGGGCCCAGGGCTCACTTCAGAAACTAATTTTTCATCATTCTGATGTGCTTTTATTCTCCTGTGTGTTGGCGGCTGAGGTAGATGTGGTCCGTATGGATGAGAAGGCAAGTGTCAGTTTCTCCAGGAGCTGGATGTGTGGTCCTGGACTTGTGGACCCTCTTCCCAGTGAGGAAGCCCCTGCCCCCACTTTCTTCTCTCCCTTCTCCATCTGGTCCTCCCTCTGCCCTCCCTCCCCCTCCCTTTCCTCCCTTCCTTCCTTCTCTCCATCCCTTCCCATCCCTCCCATCTCCTTTTCCTTTCTCCCTCTTTCTCTCACTTCCTCCTTCCCTCCCTCCCTATATTTACTAAGGGCTTAATCCTGAACCTGAAGAAACTACGCAAGGATGAATGCCTGCTTCCCTGTCAGGGATGTAGGTGTTTCTCTAAGGTGTCACCTGACCCTGTGTTTTAACCCAGCCCTTCCCTCCCTGCTCCTTCAGTAATATTGAAAAGTTAAAGCAAATGCACTCCTGAGAAGAGTCTGGTTTCCACCCGCAACTCAGTATTCTTAAACATATCAGAGACGTCAAATTTGGACACCACGGGAATTGAAGAGGCACAGGGAAAACTGGGATTTGTTGGATCGGAGCCCCACCCTGCAGGTTGAAGCGCCATCCACCTCCAACTCTGCATGAGCCTGAATAAGGCACAGGGAACCCATCTCCCTGCATTCTTGGCCACCATAGTAGAGCCTGTCTCATCACCTACTATGTCGAAGAAAAGTCTTCCTTTAAACAGGGAGTTGGAAGACTTGATAAAGTGCTGTTTCCACAGATATTTTACTACAGTCATGCGTAATAAGAATCTATGAAAAGAGAACCAGGGCTGGCGTAAGAGCAAGCTCAGAGGAACGGGTTTCCTCAATCGTTCTTATTTTTTAACAAGGTCTTATTTTAGCTTTGCATGAGATTTACTACTAGCATTTTCTTAGTTTTGTAAACTCTGTCCCAGCTGAAGGATCTGTAGCTAGCTGTGGCCACTGCGGACTGAAGGGAGGTGGAAGGATACAGGCAAAGTTGGTGGCGGTGACGGGGCCCGTGACCGTCCGCCACTGCTAAGTGCCCAGCTCGCCCAGATGAGGATGCCTACCTTTTGGGCTTCGCTCACAGTAGGAAGCGAAGGGAAACAGAGCCTCCAACAGGGACAGTCGGAGAAGACAACCAGTAGTAATAAAGTAAAAATAAACACCCTCCCATCACCCCGGTTGGCAGAGCCAAGGGACTCTGCAGAGCTTAGCACAGCTCCGTAGAGAACGTCAAATGCAAGCTTTTATGCTCGGCTTTGTCCACTTGCTCTTTGCAGGCAGCGGGCCCTCGTGCTGGAGTTCCAGGCAGCCCCCTGGCTGTGTCCTGTGGTGTTTTCTGTTGGGCTGCAGACCTACACTCCCACTCTAAGCCCGGGGCGTCAGGGGCAGTGTGAGGATGAATTTCTGGAGCGTTTTCAGGTAAGCAGGTAGGTGTTCTATAAATGTGCCAGGCTTTCTTGGTTTGCCTAATTTAGATTCTTAGGGGAGTCCATTAAGAATAGCTTTTACCCTTCTGTCATTAAGAACGTTTATACGGAGTCTTGTTTTTTTTGTTTTTTACTATGGTTTTGTTTTCTTTTTCAGTAAGTGATCTTGCCTCACCAAAGGCAAATAGGCCTCACCTAGCTTATGTAAGAAATATAAATTAAGGTCCTGAATCACTCCACTAGTACTTGGGCAGAAAAGTTGAACTCTGCGTACTTCTTGATAACTGTGCTACTATAATTTTCTCCAAAACAGTAATCTGCCATCAGACAAAATCTGCTAACAGCCTCACTCATTGTTACAAGATTAATGTCACTGCTTGCGGGAGATGCTTCCTTTCCTCTTCTAGACTCACAAAAGCACAGCCTTTGATAATTAATCCTGATAACACCAACACAGAAACCCAGATCCTTGACATATAACTCAGTGACTCGGCAGAAAGGAAAAACATCTCACTTGCACTTGATAAAATTCTATAAAAATGTATTTTGCTAACTTTCCTGAGAAATTTAACTATTTGGAGAAATTTTATATTTTCCCTGGCTGATTTTCATTTGTACTTAAATGTTTGTTTTAAAGAAGATACAGAACCAAACCTGGGAGAGATTAAATTTTGCCCCAAGTGAAATTGCTAAATTCAGTGGATTTTAATTACCTTTGTCCCCATGGGCTTTCCCCACCCCCCCCTTCATTTCTTTTACGTTCCCCTTAGGTTACAAGGATTAATTTGCAAGCCGAGTCCCACACTATCCGTGAGACTACGCAGAATGTACGACAGGCGAGGTGATCAGGTGCCCCCTTTTGACCGAGCAGCTGAGGCAGGTTTTTTCCAGCGTCAGCCTGTGTCAGTGCGATGGAGGGAGGGTCACCTGCGGTCATACCTTGGCTCTGTGGGGCCTGGGCAGCGGCTCGCTGTCTCTACCGTCATTAGGATCCTTGTTTCTTGTAGAGACAGGCCGCAGGGCGTCTTGTGCCCTATTTTTCATTCCCAGTTTGTTCAGAAACTGTATTTTCTTAAGTCTGAAAACAGCAGCCGCCCATGGATACGTTTTTATAGGGCAGCAAGATCCTACCAGAATAGGCGTTTGTTTTCCCCCTTGAATGAATCCTGAGCCCTGGAAGTCGCCCCGTGCCCACCACGGTCTCTCTATATACTCCACGCTGCTTTCTCCAACAGCTTGGCGCCGAGACTCTAAAGCTTAACGCTGAGCCAGTGTAAGCGGCGTTCTTACGGGAGCTGCCTTAATGGCGGCTTACGCGTGAAGTGGGAACGGCGTGCTGCCCACCCTCTAAACAATTTCTAGTGCTCAGCCTCCATGAAATGGACTGCTTATGGCAAGATAATGTCTGTTCTATTCCTTTTTAAGTCTGTGAAAAATGTCATCCTGGCTGATAGGGTGATTAAAACTCTTTATGGTCCAGGAGATAAATGTGATTATGTTTGTCATGCTCTACCCAAGATGAAGACAGAGAAGGAGGCAAACTTTAGATTCCCTAATATTTATTTCCCCTCTTCCATATCCAGGAACATTCAGAACTCAGTACACAGATGGTACTTCACATAAAGAGTAACATTATCTGTTAAACACTTTTCCTTTCCATTAACCAGTTTAACAATATGCCTCTGGTATAAAAGGAGTAGACAAATGACTACATCTTCTGATATCTGAGTTCTGACTGTAGAAAAAAATCACTTTAGTCAGTCATATTGCTTGTTTTTCTTTTAACTTTCATCTTTGTTACTTCATTTTGGCTTTTAAAATGCAACTGGAGCCTATGCTTGGTACCTGTTCTAGGGAATCTGTCCCCATCAACCTTTCCTCAGCAGGTGATTCACCATCATTCTTATGGATGTCGTTCCCCCCCCACCCCCGCCATCCCTCAAGGACAACAGACGCATATGGGAAGGGTTTTGTAAACCTTTAGGCATGTCACACAAACATGCACTCAAACATTCCTTCCTTTAGGCTTCCAGGTGGGTGGTGGCACACCCACCTAGACTCAGACTCATAATAGGGACAAAAACCTGTTCAGTTTTCCTCCCGATTTCCTTCCTTCATTGCATTCAAAGACTAGAGATATTTTGTTAGCAGAGATTTAGTTAAAAATGAAAGGTGGGTGAAGATATTTTGCTACTCCACATACCCTGCGATAAATTTCACAATCCTTTTCTTTTAGTCTTGGATTTTAAACAGGTTACATATGAATCCCAGGTGCTGATTACACCTGTTTAATTAACAATACAGCAATTTTAACAGGGTAACACAGTCCAGAGAAAAATGTTACATTAGGCACTTGACATTTCATTTAAAATTTTTTCTTAAAACTAAAAGGTTTCATTTTAACAGATAAATTTCAAATGTACTTTTTTAAACTGATCGTTAATTAGAACCTAAGCAATTATAAAGAAAATACACAATGATATTCAACCAGAGGTTAATTTTCTGGTCATACTGACATGTTAAAATACTTTTCTTAAAATTTTAATTTACCTGAGACTCAGTTCCTAGGTATCTTTTTGGTTAAAAATATTTGTTAAGATAGGCGATAACTGGACTATTTTTATATTGACAACTGAAATAAAGCTATAAACTGTCAGTCAGTGTTTCAGGACCCAGAACCAACTTGTCAAAAAAGTACATTTTATACCCATAATATCGTTATTTTCACATGATTATCCTTTCAAGTTATCATAATCTGTTACTGGCTTCTTGTCTAAGAATTTACAGGGCCTAAGGTGAGGCTGTCAGGTAAATGACTGGCATATACAAATCAAAGACTGTGTTCAGGACAAAAGAGCCACACCCACTGCCTGAGGGACAGGATTCACCCATTAACCCGTCACTTTGGAGTCTGCCTAACAGGAGCAAGTCCGAGTTCTGACAGCCACATACGGACAAGAAAGGCTGCTGAAACTTATTTAATTAGACTTAGAGGTACTACTGCTGTTAGGTGTCTGTTTATAAAGATTTTCCTTCATACGTTATAATTTTGTTTTTCAGGTAAAAAACTTGGTTTCAACTGGTAGAGTCATAGAAGTATTTCCCCTGGGATTTCCTCCACATAGAGAAGGTACCCATATAATTATTTTTAAATAGTCTTCCTAACTTTAGGAAACTTTGCCCTCCCTCCAACACCCCCCACCCCCATATGAACATAACCAAATCAGTTGTAATAAAGTACAGCACACAGAAATGGCTGTCGGCCTCCTATGGGGACACTGAATGCCATCCATCCCACAGGTTCACTCAACAATCTGCATGTGTTCCTGAGGAGAAATCCGTCGAGTCCCTTTGCTGTTGTGACAGCTCCAGAGCCAGCTTTTCCCATAACAATTGTTCTGGACTTCACCCACCATGCTCATCTCATTTGGATTTCAATGCTTCCTCCCATTCAACAGCCGATTCAGAGTTCTTGGGAATTGCTGGAAATATTGATTGCATTTTACTTCGAAAGTCTTTTATCTGAAAGGTGAAAAAAATCAGTCATCAGATGTTAAAAGACAGGGAAAAGAGCCAAAGCAATCAGAGACGTACCCCGTTGCTGACCGACTGATACATCATTGCTGTGGATACCGGGTGAAGGAAGACCAACAAAAGGTAAAGACTGTTCTCGCTGCCTTGAAAGACAATGAGACATACCTCTTTTCTTTTTCCAAGTATAAGTCTATTGGGCCTTAAATAACATAAAACTCCACTCTAGATCTGGAAGGCAACATGCTCTAAATCGTCAGCCCTCAATGACATTTATTTCCTACCAGGAGAATGGTATGTGTTGTTGGCCTTCATACATAAAGATGCAGCTGAGAATGGGATTTCTATCTAAATAAACATACTGAAGCCATGCAAACTTAAAGAATTTGGGGGCCAGAGGGAAGGAGTGGGGAGAAGTAACTTAGGAGGGGGTAAATAAAGAAGGAATCAATGGCAGATAGAGTAGAATGTTTTTATGTGCCAGACAGTGTTGAAAAATCTATGTAGAGGTTTTCTCAGCAGAGGGTGATTTGGAATCCGAGAGTCAGAGCAGGAGGTTGGAAGATCCTGACATGCAGTGTCAGCTCCACCTAAGTGCGCACCGCCCTGAGCGAGGGGAACACTAATTTATGGGAATTTATGGGAGGTGGATAATCTTTACCTTAGATAACACTAGATCCACACTCTGATTCATTCTTTTCACTCAGATGGTCCTGTTCTGAAGATAGTATTTCAGAAGCGCTACAGCACAGCACTGCAGTGTTCTCATCAGCCACATCCCAACCATTATTTCCCAAGGATACAGATCTCCTCAGTCAGGTCTGTGAAGCACCCTGAACTTATACAGCAAATGTAAGTCATTTCTGGAGTGATTTTTGAAAGTCGGCTATAGTATTTTTTCTTTTTTTTATCTTGATGCTTGCTTATTTCAATTTGAAGCTGAATCCTTGTAGTGTTTCCAAGTTCAGGTGGTGCATACTGTTGGGACTTGTAAATTCCTAGTCATTTATTCCAGTCATTGTAGCACCATTTTAGCACAGACCCTGGTATCAGGTACACCTCTCTGTTCAAAGCCCAACTCCACTGCTTGGGAAATCTGCTTATTCTAAGGGGTAGTTTCCATGTGTGCAGAATGGAGATAATTACCTGCTTACAGAGTTGTGAGGATTAAGTGAGATAATGTATATAAAGCACAGCACCTGGTAGTACTCAAATATATATTAGCTCTTGTCACTACAGCATCATCAAAATGTACTGTGTTCCAAGAACAAAACTCATATGGATATAAATATTGTGGTATGTTTGTCAAAAGCATTAATTTATAGTTATATCATTTTGGTTTAAATATTCTGATACTGGAAGACATATAAGGTTATCTATCATATGTAGTCTGGAGGAGGTCCATGCCCACCATCTCTTTGTTTGGGTCTCAGACACCAGTCTTGAAGACACACACACACACACACACACACACACACACACACACACACACACACACACACACACACACACACACACACACACAC